CAGGCCCACAACCATCTCTAGCTCTTCATGACAGATCAAGAGAATTTGCCCAAGCTACAACTTGGTCATCCCATAGGCATCCTCCACCAACAGTTGTCTTTAAAAGTGACAATCTGCTGGACGGGATCCTCAATAACTCAACCTAAGTGTCTGTATTGCCTGAGCTGGCAATGCTTGTCTCATGGCACAGTCAAAGATCTGATGCATGGGCTTCTCAACTGTATCCCATGATCCAAAGCAAGGCCAAGATTCCAAGGCACAAGGTAAATTCCAATTAGTAAAAGCAACAGTATCTTGAAGACATGTAGCCTGATCCTCCTGTACAGGTACCATCACGGTCAAAAGTCTTTTAATGGACAGAAGCTTTGAATCTGTCTTGCCCTATACAAAAAGTGTGGTATGAAACAGATGTTTGAAATGGAATTCAAAACACATTATACAAATGTACCATTACCATCATACTTTCTTGTTCATGGCTTTTGCTGCCAGGCTAGTCAGTCTGCTGGCTGCTTGGTATAATAGGGTCATGTGCTAGGATACCAAGATGTGTAAAAATCTGTGTGACTTCAATGTCTTCTAGTGACCAATAGTGACTAAGGAGTCAGAGAAGATAGCAACATCATCAGCAAAGTCAAAGTCAACAACCTTGACATTGCCCAGTGTAGCTCTTCATTGGCATCTAGTCCATGTAAGTAATGAAAATGGTGCAAGAATACTAACCTGCCTTACCCCTGAATTCACAGGAAAGAAAGTAAACATGTTCTCAATATATAGGCTTGCTATTAATCCAATAATCCTTGCAATTCTTAATGCAATGAGTTGAATGCCTTCTTGAGGATGATGTAGACTGAAAGCAACTTATGACTGGACTCAAAATGGTGCTTTATAAAGCCATGAATTAGACGTATATGGTCATTTGTGGATTTGCCACTAGTGAATCTGAATTGCTCCTTTCTCTGGTACCTCAGTTGTGGTTTTCATATATCTCAGGAAGATGTGTATGAGCTCATTGCCTAATATACTTAGCAGTCTAGTGCCTTGATGACTGTTGCAGTTCCAGCATTCCCCTTTCTCATTACAGTAGGCAATAAGGGCCGCATCCCTCACAAGTCTGGGGGAATGGTACCAGATTACCAGGTGGGAGCCAGGATAGTATGCAGTCTATGAGCGATGGGTTCACAAGACCAGTAGTTCAGCAGAGATGCTACAAATGTATACTCCTTTACCATACTTCAGCTTGGAGATAAAAAATAAAAGATTCTAGGTGGCTACAAAATCGGCATGCGGAGCTTCCCCGAAGTCTGCCCACCGGCCGCAGCCCGCTGCTGCATCGGAGTGTGAGCCCCGATAGTCACACTGGCGGGACACCCGGCAATGTATATTTTTTCGGGTGTCTCATATATGGGACACCCGTCGTTAATGGGTTAGGTGATCTATCTCTGGGATCATGAAACCACCGATTTTCATGCTAATTGCTAGTGACTCAACCTGATAGAACTGCTGAAAATAGTATGCCCAATGCCCAGACACCCCAATGTGATCTGAGATGATCTTAGTATCTGCTAAGTAAACTGCAGTCATCTGTGATAGGGCTTTGCACTCGGCTTTCTCCTAGGCTGGAAGACAAGACAAAGGAAATCTCAACTTTCTAAGCAAGATCCCAGATATGGTGTTCCTTGTCCCTCAGCAGTTTCTGACCCCTACATGCCAGGAATTGATCCAAGTCCTAATCATCAGCAAGTAAAGTCATTTTACTATTATCTGTGCTGTCTAGTTTCTGCAACAAGACAATAGTTCTGCCTTGTTCTTAGGCAGTCACCCATGGAGTCCTGAACTGATCAAGCATTTTGCATTTCAGGTATACCATTGTGCTGCATGGTTCATATGTGCAATTTAGTGCTGTGAAATTATCAGAGATAGCCTGAAAACTTCCAAGCAAATCCCTCTTCCCTCAAAATGTCCAAGTGAAACATCCTGGGGCGGTAACCGAAAGGACAGGGTTTTGCAGTGGACCTGGTGGGTATCCACAACTAATCTATAAATTTTACAACAGAACTCCACACTCCAGTAAACCCTACAATACTGGAGGATTCTCTAACATGTTCTGACAAGGATACAGTTGGTCTCCTTGTCAACATCAACCATATCACTATACCAGGACCAGCAATGTGGATTGAAAAGCTTTTACTAAGTCCTGGAAATCCTTAATCTCTTGGACCTCACAAAATCCTGGAGAAGTCTGCTCTCACTACCAGCATCAGCCAGCGAAAATGAACTGCAGAAGCTAGGGATACCCCTTGGAGACACTGACTATTACTGCAGCTCAACCAGTATTAGGTGAAACCACCCTTACTAATCATGTCACTGCCAGGTTTTTTCACCTCAGATGGCAACCACCTCCACCAACAGCAGTCTCAGTTCTCTTGACAAGCATAACTAAGTAATCATCCATATGCTGAATAAATGTTCCCTGCATTCACCCAGAAGGTCCATTTGAGGCTAAACCTTGGGCAGTCACTCAGGGTGAATGCCATCTCTACCACCTCTCTGGTATTGCCCTAAATGAGGGTGGTTGGTGGGCTTGGCATCTGCATGCAGTGTTTCTAAAGTCTTTGCCCCACATACCTCGCACATTGGGTTGTTGACCACTGAGACTCAGGCAGGCACCAACTGTGTCCCAGTGTGCATCCTCCCAATGAGACCCACAGCCTGCTTAGCTTGCCAGGAGAAAGAGGATTCTGCTCTCCCTTGAGCTTTTCCATTTACCTGGATCATTGCTAGTATGTCTCTCAGGGAAGCAGTCCTTGCCAGTATGTCTCCCGGGAGGCAATAACATGAAACATTAATTCAACAAATACACCCTCCTACAATGGGTAAAGTAACATATCTTGGTACTGCAGCATTGGAAAGGACTGCTCTAGACTATGAAACCAAACAAGAGACACACGAACTGATGCCAATGCTCTCCACACTCTATGTAGTCTTACTATCAAGACTACCACAGCAGTGCATAGAAGAAATAAATGGACAAAAAGACAATACTGATAAATCTCATCTAACAGATCTACATCCTAGTATTTTTTTTTTTTTTTCTATTCCTATTAGCCAACCTTTGGAGAAGAGAGGATTGGAGACGGACACCAGAAAGGCTGGTATTCTTTTTGAAATCCTCTGATAGCGTATGACTAGAGAGGCTGAAATGCAATCAAGAAAAAGGCGTTGCGCAGTCATCACCTGTGAGAGGGGATAGGCTTTGGCACAAATGCACTCATATATGTCTGTGTTATTCTGATGCCTATGGAAAAAAGTGGTAGAAACTGTCAGAGACAAAAAAAAGAGGGGGGGGGGATATAAAATGTTAAAATCTAAATACTGGATAAATAAATAGGAGATAAACCAGAGAGAAATAGAGAGGGAAAAAGAAACAAAATTTAAAAAAAGCTAAATAAAATATTTAAAAATCTTGAAAGTAAATTTAATACAATAATAACATTCATTACTTGAAAGAAAAAAATAAACTGCAGGATAGATGCAAAAATAATAAAGAAAAATAGTATTAACAAAAAGAATCAAAGTAAATACATAAAGAGGAAAGACAATAAGACAACAAAATCCAACTCTTTTGTGGGGGTGGCTGAGATTCTTAGGATGTTAAAGTCACGCTGGTCATTGAAGTCACTTTTAGGAGGAGAGGCAAGGGACTTTTATGTACGGAACACAACACCGGGCAGGCTGAACTTTGCCAATTTTGGGCCCAGAACTGAGTCGTCTCTTCCCTTACTTTTTGTCTTCACAATGTAGTTGTGTGATTGGCTGATGCAAATATGTAGGACAAATGAGTCACTAGAATATACTGTAAATAAGAAACATAACATATTGCTGGATAATAACTACAGTATACCTTAGAAATATAATAATGGTAATCATAATAACAATCATAACAATAACAGTAATAACTAATACAATAACAGTAATAATAATAACAATAACAATAGTAATAAAAATAGTGATGATGAAAGATAATAATTTTAATGATTATGATGATAAAAATAATAAAAAAATAATAAAAATAACAATAATAAGAACAATAATAATAATAATAATAATAACCATAATAACAACAATAATAATCATAACAATAAGATATATAACAATATTATTATTTACAATAACAACATAATAATAATAATAATCATAATAATAATAATAAATAATAATAATATAATAATAATAAAATTTAATATAATAATAATTAAATAATAATAT